ATAACTAAGTGATAATTAATGTGTTTCCTCACCACCTGTAAACTTCCTCTGGGGGAACATGACCCAGGACCTCATTGGAATATTTTTTTTAATTTCCACCTTTGCTGATAGTTTGTTTCATAATGTCTGTAGTGAATTACAAGTCAGCTACAACAGTCACAGCTACTGGAAGACAAACTTCTAAAGACGTAGCCGCCTACAGATTCAGAATAGCCTTTACTAATGGAGAGTGCGCAAAATTCATGAAAGATCAGGGCTTGGATTTTATATGTATAACTATACCACTTGTATAACATAGAATATTAATATATCTGCATGTTAGAATATTAAATCAGTATTCTGTATCTGTGTCTAAAGCTGATAAGCCAAATGCACCAAAGATTCCCTCACATCTGCAAGCTGTTAGTGGCTTTGTTTTTCAAGGTATCACCCTGACAACGGTCAAAAGAACATAAGAGACGCTACAAATGAGAGGAGGTCAATTTCTCTTATGATCTTATAACCATTCTCATGGTCATTAGTGGGTTTCTTTTCTCATGGTATTACTCCTCACAATCATCATTCTTAAGAGCAGTTGGCACCTTGTTCCTGTGAGACTTGAGGGCTTTGAATGAAGCCACATTTGCACTCCTTTTCATTCAGATTACAGCACCATTGTCCATGCACCACACACAGCAATTAGAATATAAAAGGAACATTAGACGCAATTAGAAGATTTTTACAGAAGAATTTGACAACTGAAGAACCTAAAATGGGAAGAGACAACTTAAAGACAACTAAATTACAACTTTAAAAACAAATTACCTAAAAATTAAACAGCATTTTAGTTTGGTTGCTGGCAGATTTTTCTGGAAAGATACTGCAACCTATATTAACTTCTCTGTTAAATAAATATTGATTTGTAAGTCTTTTTTACTGACTCCATTTGTGTATATTTTCATTAATTTAGCATCACCACACCTTCATATTTGCATTCAGTATATGACAGAAAGATAAATCAACGAATTCCTCAAAACTTCCAAAGCAAATACCAAAAGTTTATTTGTTTGCACTGTCTGTAAAACCAGACAAAGTGTGCAAGACACCAAATCAACTGAAGCAGACACAGACACCCTAATTATCAGATACGAGATAAGCTGTGTTACCGGTAGGTACTGCAAATCCTACAAGCAATGAAAATCAGCAGATGTATATCCTGGGAACATATGATTTTATTCGAAAAACAAACACTGTTCTATTGTTGTGTGTAAGCCTACAATAAACAAACAAAACAACTCCCGAATTTTATTTTCCCCTAGCTATAGAAAGAACTATCCATGTCAGAAGTGATTCTGGATCAACTTATCAGTGTACCATTATCTTCTGAATATTGCATACTGCATTTAATCCTTCAATGTAACCTGAACAGTGCTAACTGGGGATTAACTTTATTTTCCCGCCACCATCCAACATCAACAAAATCTTAAAAAATCAAATCATTATCACCCAGTGTTTATGTAGCTGTTAGAAACATTTTAAAACCCTGTCTTATCCATATTCCCTCCTTTTCTTAGAAGCTAATAGAAAGGTCTCAGAGCTTCCACCCAGTTGTGCTTATCGTACTATTTTGGCAGAACTTTACAAGACTGCTGCAGTAAAAATCCTTTTATAACAAGTAGGCTATTGAATTATTAACTTCACTGAATACGTGACATAGCACTTCATTGATGTATCTTTTTGAGTACTGCATGGATTTCAAAAGAAATCAGGTCCTCAAAATGCATGATTAGATTGTATTATACACATCGCGTTGGCACAAAGAGGCCATTGGCTATTGAAAAAGATGGAAATTGCAGAAGGAGGATGATGGGACATGGCCTATTTGGAAATAAAAATAGAAAACATAAAATATGCATGTAGAAAACTACAGGCAATTGTCACAACTGCCTGTATTAAATAAATGACTTATGTGAAAGCAGCCTATCAATCTGTTAAATGTCAGTAAGTTATATATAATGCCCTATGATAAATTTAAAATGCAATATTGAAAACAAAATCAGATTAGCCCACTGCTCTTTAAGACCCTAGAAAATCAGTCTTAGACTTAATCGGAAACAGGGCATTCCACGACTCTATCCTCTCGGCGCAATACAGAACAGACCTCATTTTCCCCCCTGAATGCAGCTCCAACCTGCGTGGCCTGTGGCTGGAAGATGAGCCCTGTTCTCCACTGAAACCACGTGCAAAAAGCAGACCCAGAAGAGTCTTTTCACAAAAGGCCCTCGGCCTCCTCGTTTACAAATACCCCACTCAAAGGCTACATTCGGGTTGAAATAAAGTCCATTTTAAGGCCAAAAAATACCCCCATTAAAGCTCCATTCAAAACCGGTCAAAGAAACAGCTATTAGAAGACAGGCACGTACAAAAACGCAAACCTATATTGATATGTTCTTACAGACCAACCTGACGTACCAGGCTCCTGTTTGACTCTGAGGAATCTGCTAATTGTGCAAAGAAAGCGGTCTGATCCTTGCACTGGCACCCCCTGCTGAGGGGCCTGAAGAAGTGTCAGTGCTGCCCCCCTGCCTGTGAGATTCTGCGTTCTGAATGGGGATGGAAAACTAAACTTTACAACCCACCTTTTTTCCAGGACCTTTAAAAATATCAGCTTCTGCAAATTCCAATGCATATGGCACCCATGTCGATCAATAAGTGAGGACCCATCCCAAGCCTGCAGTGTTAGTTACAGCACACATCTCATACATAGGCACTCTACACAGTGTGACTCTGGGGAAACTCTGGGGAAGAGGGGGCTCGTTTAAAAGGACATGCGCCTACAGAAGCTTAGTATTTTTCTTTTACTCAAACTAGCACCACTGGCGCGAGGGACAGTTCCAGTAAAGGATTCTGCTGTCAATACAAAATTGACGCGACTTTCTTGTAATTGTCTTTGCAGTACCAGCAGCAAGAAAAACCTTGCTGTTCAATTCATGTTCATACCTTGGAAGTCATCTGAAATGAAGCTTTTCGTGAAGCATTTCTATATGGCGTTACCTTCTTAACTCATATGTTTAAAAGACATCTACAGGAAGTATTTTTTTAAAACCTTCCATAACATATATTGGTTATGAATGAAATACATATTACAGAGGCCACAACAAACCCATATTAGTAGCCAATACCTAAGTTAACAGTAATAATTGTTATTATGCCATTGATCACTTTAATGACAAAACACACCATCATCTGCCATTATTATTGCATCCTATAAGAATGTATGCTTTACATGTAGTGCAGCACCTTGTGTGGGATCTCATATGAGTTTGTAATTTGCTTTGGGACTACAGTCCACCAATCCTCAGCTGCAATACACATAGACACAATGGGGTATATTTGTCACAGAGAGCTATTGTAATATACCAAGGCTTATATTACATACAAATTATTACTGTTTGGAAATCTCTGGTAGGGGTGGAGTTCTACTGACAGAAATCACCATCACAGAACCGTTTTGATAATTTTTTTTTACAGCCTGCATTTCCCCCATGTTTGGATGATATATTCAAAGTCGAAATGTGTCTGCCTGCATCATTAGTGTAAGGCTGGGCTGGACTGTGCAATATTGTGCAATTTTTTCAGAATGACATTCGCTGAACATAATCCAATTCAACATCAAGGCAATAACATCCACTGCGAACAGGATTTTTTTTTTCAATGATTATTTCCCTGTTTAGCTCCGAAAAAGCAAAGTATATCCATACATAAATGCATACATTTTTTTTTAATCTCGAAGACGTGATATACATTAAAAACACCGCACTGCCTACAGTCTTTCGTTACCTACAAAGACGAGCTTAACTAACATAGGCTCTTGAAATGAATTAATATGTGACTACATGATTTAGCGTCGCTGACTCGTGTGAATTTTAGTCTAACGTAATTTCGGATACAATTTCAATCAGGAAAGGGTTAGCTGGATTTCCCGGCAGAAAAGGATACTCGTGTAGCTTTATAAGATTTCTCAGGGGGGGAAGAAAAGTAGTATGAAAACACAGCGTTCATAAGAAACCTAATAACCATGCTGGCGTATCTATCATATTCCTTTTTATATCTATTCTACAATACTTTTTGGCGTGTTTTTGGGTGTGGGGGGGAGTTGGGGGTTGGGGGTGACGAAGGGCAACACGGGTATATGGGTCGCTGGAAATAGACCAAAGCCAGCTGCCCGGTGGGGCTGCATATTTCACAGCTCAAGACTGGCCCAGGTACAGGTACAGACTGCTGATCTTCTGGGCCGTCTTCGTTGGCATGACTAGTCTGCCTTGCCTTTTTTACGCACCACGCAAAGACAACTCCACGATTCCAGTTCTGCAGCGATGCCCGTCACTACACTCAAGTATCAAATATTAAAAGCCCCGAAGGTAGCTTACGAAGGAGGATCGACCATATTTTTTTTTTCCCTTTTCGTGGATAACAAAAAGGACGCTAATGAATGCCAAAGCAGTTAGCTGGGGGGGGGGAAGCCGGTTACATTCAGACTAGTCCTCACACCTGCAGTAATATAGCTGTAGCTGTTGCAGCTGGAGAGTGGTATAGCCGTGAACGATGCTAATGAAGATACCGGTTCCATTGACGCTACTCGAGCAACCTACACGCCCCTCTCTGTCCCAAGTAACCGATCGCTTCATACGTGTATGTCGAACCCAACATCACATACAATCATTTTACAACGTAATATTGGCTTTTCTTTTTTTCAATTTTTCATGCATGGCATATTATATAATAAAGGTCCACTTGGGGGCATTGCGACTAAATTATAATAATGGGAATAAGCATAACGTATGCACAGAACTTAATTCCCACTGCCACTGTCCACCCTTCAAAGATTTCTACAGGGCAGATTCAATCACAGAATGCCTTTTAGCTCAAGCCGTGCCACCTAAGCAATGGAATTGGTTTCCCCGAAGTTCAGCGACTGCGAAAAAAAAAAATACACAGGAATCAGTAACAGGGGTACTCACGCACTGCCTCTTGCTTGGGATCGAGACCGCTGGCAGTCTGCTGGATTCTGCCTATTTTGTTGTGCAGAACCCAAACCCGCTTGTTCGTGGATATGATTTCGTTCTCCAGCTCCTGAAATAAGGAACAGGCGTGCTTGGCCAGGTCGGAGAGCTGCCTCAAGGTCCGGGAAAGAGCTACATTGTTGATAGAACACAAATCCTCAAAAAGCAAACCTTCATCATTGGGAATGGCATGTCTGCACAGTAACTGAGGTTCCACGATCCTCTTGGCAAATGGCATTTTGTAAGTAAAAATAAATCCCCCTCCAAAAGAACCAGATCCAAGAAAACAAGAGAAAAAACAACACGTTCAGATTATTTTCCCCCTCAATCCGAAATTCCCGAATGCATTTTTGTATCCCCCATCCTTTCACACTCTTATGGTAATGATCACACAGTTCGAAAGCAAAGCAGCCAGCCTTCCGACTCTGATCCTCGCTGCTCCTCTGATCATCAGTTGCCTATCGGTGCTATTTTTTTCCTCCAATGCTTTAAAGTAGAGGTGGATTTTTTAAAAGATTCCGCGAAAACCCGGCGCCAGGAATGTCCGGATCTGGAGCGGGATTCATTCATTTTACAGACCGTACGGAGTCACTAGAGCGCCGGCCGCTCTGCGGGAATCAGCGGCAACAAGTGGAAGAGAGAGGCAGTAAAGCGGGGACACTGAAGGCGGCGGGTTTTTGGCGCGTAAATTCACACATGTAATTAGACTGAATAACTCAGTCCCCCGTAAACATTCGTTATACCTGCAAAATGTGTTTTTTTTTTGTGTGAAATGCGTACATACCGTGGCACTTAGGGTGCATGTAACAAGTTAAACAGGAAGTGTTACCCGAGCTGAGTGGTTGTTTGGCTTTGAGACAAGTCATGCAAGGGAAAGGTGTTGGTATCTATTCTGTTCTATTTAAGAAACGTCGCATGTGCATTGTTGCGATTGTTAAACCACTTATTAAATGGCACTTCAGTATCTACTGGATGACTCCATGCATACAATTTCATGCATGCCACCTTTGTGCTGCAGATTGTTCACATTTTATTATTATTATTAATCATTATTAATTAGACATCTGTTTAAACAACAAGGTGTTCAGACCAGTACACATCCTGCAATGTAGACCAACTCTATAGTGCTCACTTTGCAAGTGTTGTAAAATAAATTATTTTCAACAGAATTTTGATATATTTAAAGTCCAGTATATGATTGGCCTTTTAGAGCCTTTAGGAATTCACAGCAACATTTTTAAGTATTGGGTACAACGTGTCTCAGAAAATACCACTGAGAAAAAATCAGTTTTTAAAAGCTTTTGCTTTCTTAAATTGAGCAGTACAGAATGATTTACATTCCTGAGATCAAGTCTTGCTCACTGCATGGATGTTTTTGAAAAACAAATAATACACAATAGACTTTAACACAAACCATTCAAAACATTAACTTGATTATTCCTATCAACATCATCAAACATGGCTGTATAAGAATTTTGATGGGCTAAGGAGTCAATGCACTATGGTAAATGTACCTTTCACCTTTCCCCACAAAGTATGAACCAACAATAAAGAATATTATTAAACAGCGTTTTCACAATGTCACACGCTATCAGTTCTGTCTCTTTGTTTTGCATTTGCTCAATCTCGTGTGATCACCTCTTTTCTACAGTATATACAGTATATTACAATACATCACATCATATCCTTACATCACTTTTGACAGCCGCTTATCCAATTCAGGGTCTCACTGGCCCAGAGCTTATCCCAGGAAGCACTGAGCACAAGGCAGGATCGACCCCAGAGGGGGCGCCAGTCCATTGCAGGGCACACACATAAACAAACAGTCAACCACACCAGGGCCTATTTTCCAGGAATCCACCTAACCTATCAGTACGTCTGTGGACTGTGGGAAGGAATTGAAGCACCAGCAGCAAACCCGCATGGGGAGAACATACAAATTCCATGCAGATAGCACCCCGGAAATTGAACCCAGGAGTACAGCAATGCGAGGCAGCAATTCTAGGCCCTGCATCACCCTTTATTTGACATCTCTATATAATATATTCCTATTTGGACACTGTATGATTTAGAAAATACTACATCTGAATTTCTTTGTATAATAAAGAGGACTGTTAATTCTATAAAATACCTTACCTTAATACCTTAATTAGAAACGTACTGCATTTATTATTATTATTAGCCCGAACCAGAGGATGGCAATGAGGGAAATCATTTTTAATACCATAAAATAATGCGTAGTTCCTTCAATACCCCTCCCTCATATCACCTAAAAATCAAAACTAATTCAGACTAGTTTTGATTTTTGTCATGAATTAAATGCAACTTATTCATTGATCATGTCTCTGTATGCTACAGACCCCAAACATTTAGTGTAGTAAACATACGTTAAAAATGTAAACAAGAAATATCTTTTAGTTGCTTGAAAAAAAATGCACACACGATGTTCTGTTGTGGAAGGCAAATGTCCAACATAAGAAGACATAACCATTAGTGAAACTCAAGATGTTGGAACCCATTTACCATTTTGTGCCACAAAACACCTTCCACAATTTCTCCAGCTCTTAATGCTCTTGCCAGTCCTTTTCTCTTTGCCTTCTCTGCTCTTTTACTTTGACATTCTGTGGAAAAGCTGTCAGCTGGATTGAGGTTCATTCACATTCGCTGAACGAGTGTTTCACTAAATCCTGTCGGATGGGCTCTGAATCCACAGAGGTGACAGCTTAAGCTCTTCCTTGTGTGATTGTTAATGTCTGCACAAGAACTGCAACAGTTGCAAAGTGGAGTAAAAAAGAAAAAAAGGCTATCTGTCATGCACTGGTTGACATTGGATCCTGCAGTTAACCTTAAAACCTTGAATCCTTGTTAGGGAACATAGATTTTACTTTATTCTAAATGCTATTTAGTGTTCATTTCTTAAGTATCCTAGAGTACAATTCATTCCCTTATTGAAATATGAATGTATACTTAAATAACATTACATGAATCAGTAAAATGCTAAATAATATTTATGGATAGCTTTTGAAAAGTACTCTTTTTCTGACTCTCAATTAACAGTAGGAAAAAGGCATTGAGCCAATGGTTTGAATCAAAAAGGCTGCTTGAAATTATTTGTACTGAGGGCTCTTATACATTTTGAGGGCAGCTAGTGCAATTTCTGAACTGCAAAGACCAGGCTATGTTACCATAAAAAATTTGCAAAGCCTTATGTCCTTGAAAATTGTAACTCTGAAATCTCAGTGTGGGTTCAGGAGTCAGACAGGAAAGTGCATAATGCTTTCAAGAAGAAAACTATCACATACTGAATTACTATTGTATCTTTATGTTTAAGGTGAGATTAAAATCTAGAATGACTAATTGACCTTTTGTGTTATGCTACCCCCTATACAGTATATAGACCAACAAAAATGAAACCACTAAAAATACATTGCTTTAGACTTTGACTCTGATTCAATATTTTAGGGGCCAAATAGCATGTCAGGTTTAGCACCATATTTCAAAATGCCCTCCACTCTAGGGTGGCCATGTAGAAGAAAACCTGGCTTGGTGTGTAGTGGAAAAGCATCACTGCCAACAGCATAATCCCCTCAAATAAAAAAATATAAAGGGTGCATTGGTCAACAACGTTTCTGTTGACCTTTAAGCATGAATGTGTAGTCATTACATTTCATTACATACACTACCTATGAGTTGAAGAACAACAAGGTATAGAAATAAAACCAAACATGTTTTCCTTTACAGAACACTCTGGAAGGGCAATCAGATAGATCTCAGTGTTTAAGGAAATGTTCTTCACTGACAGCCTGAAGGAACTGAACTTTTCAGTCTTCAGATGATTACAAGGCAATGTGGTACAAATATGTAAAATTCTTAAAGGAATAGATAAAGTCAACAGGGCAAATTTCTTCAGAATGAACAGTGAAATACGGACCAGAGTATGCAAGTGGATACTCTGCGGGAGTACATTTAAAACCAAGAACAGGAGGCACTCCTTACCCAGAGGGTTGTGGGAGTATGGAGCAAGCTACCCACCATGTCATTGAAGCTGGGTTTCATCATATAAACAACTGGATGAGATTTTCAGACCAATTAACTACCAAATGAGTTAGATGGGCCTAATGGCCTCCTCTAGTTTGTAAATGTTCTTCCTTGCAACACAGGCTGAAGGATCTTGGGCAGTGAGCGAAACGTTCATTGTCATGTCATTTTAGTATGTGTAATGATCAACTGTTTCTGATGCAGCCACTTGAAACATTAAATATACTGTAGCACCTGATAGCTTCAACAAGAGTACATTTATATTGGTTTGCATTACATAGAGAAATAAGGGCTGATTTTAGAATATTAAAAGCGATCCCAGATTCCACTATTAAATGAAAATCAATGTGTTCAACAAACACTCCAAAAACACACAAAAACTTCAGAAATTGCTTCAGATTTTCTGTAGTGCCCTCTGGTGGAGTATTACCTTTTTGTTCATCTCTCTTTGCAATATTATGAGTAGCCAAAAATCGCAGTTGCAGGCCCAAGGAATTGTACCGAGTACTGAATATCGTAACACTGAAGTCATTCTTTGAATGAACAGTGACCTTCATGTAAAAGGTATGTTTTTTTATTTAAAAAGACAAGAAATCCGCCTCATTATAAGCATGGAATTTCTGTCATAAATGGGTTTGGTTTTGAGTTCAGACGCTCTTTCCTTGGGCAAGAATGTCTCTGGGATAGTTTTACCAAGGTAAATCATTAGTGGAAAATAGATGGCAGAAGATTTTTATTATTTAAATAACATGATGACAGGACATTTAGCAACCTGACCCTTATTTAACAAAATACTGGGCTCAAAACTTAAGTTTCACAGACCTCTGCAACTTCCACTAGCTTATAACCAAATAATAAATGTAATATGTTTTTAGATGTAATATTGTAAAATGTATTTGTTTTTAACAGTAGTAATTCCCTTGCAATTAGAACCTTGTCATTAATCCTTAGGTAACTTTTGAGAAAGCAGTGAGCACAGTACTTCTCCTTCAGAACCAAGTAAAATGCCATACATGTGAGTCACTAAGGATATTTGGAAAACAGAGAAGATCTGAACCTGCCTTGGCTTATAATAGACCAGAGAATGAAATAAATTCACACCATGTGTTAAGAGTTGGATAATTCAGTAGAAAATGCTAACGCATTGCTTCCTGGGATGTGTTGCTGCCATTCTGAAAATGACATTTGTGTTGTTGCGGCATGCTTCAGGAATGTATAAAAATACAAGCAATGCAAAAATAAAACAACATTTTAGAATGTTTAGAGAGTTCTGCTTTGCTGCGTTCCAACAGAATGCTACTTTTCAAACTTTATAACATTTAAGTCAAGCAAATTTAAGGTGAAGAAGACAAGACCTTCCTGTTTTTCCACGTCAGCATTGTGTTTAAAACATTTCCCAATGTGCATTAACCATTAGCTGCTGATCATTGATAACAAGATGACTGTACATGTTTTGTGGATATTGTATTGTAGTTTCACATCTAAATGGATGTGTATTTCTT